TTTTTTTTTTTTTTTTTTTTTTGAGACGATGCTCCAATCTGTTCGTGGGGAGTAACACGGCTGGGAACCGGGCCCAGCGTCCCTTATCAGAATACAAAAAAGAGCTACCGGGGCCATTACCCGGCTTCGGCTAAGAACAATTGAAGAAAAGGAAAACTCAGAAAATGTGTGTCAACTAGCCTCCCAACCACGAATCAGATAGGTGAAACCTATTCAGTTCACCTGCGACCACCACCAGCATGGCTGTTTTCAGCCCGAACCGAAGCTCTTCCAGGCCTCATGCTCCCATCAGGCTAGGTTACAGAGTTGCACCACCTTGCTGTGCAACTTGAACTTACGTTATACTGCTTCCAAGGTTGAGACGCGAGGATTTAGTACCTTGGCAGTGTTCGAAAGGGGCCGTGCCCGCCCTAAGTGAAGGCGGGCCTGCAAATATGTGCCAAAGCCTGTTTATAGCCCTATGAGACCAGGCTGAGGGGCCCAAGCAGAACCTGTTGGAACCCCTATGTGGGCATGGATCCTTGTTATGAGCTAGCTCCTCGGCATGCCCCTGTGGGCCCCTTTAAGTGCAGGCGGGCCCCTGAATTTCAATATGGCCTGAGTTGATCAATTTTGGAAAAGTTTGGTGGGCGCCAGACAGTTGCCACACGCCAGTTGGTTACATCCTCCGTACTCACCAATGAATCAGAAATAATTCGCGAGCCTTCCGGGCGCGCCCAAGCGTCGAGGAAGAAGGCAGGGCGCTGCTGAGGGCAGTGCCATCGCCAGCCCTACATAGCCAGGGCTTGGCTTGGAGAGCCAGTGGAGGTGGTGGTGGTCTTCGTGTACGGGTAGGAAGACATGGGTAGACAAGACGAGGGAGAGAGAGAAATGAGGACGATGATGTGAGGGCACGTAGCTAGTCTTGGCGATGGTCTACAGGGTCAGACATCTTTATGTACTTCGGTTGTCGCTGCTGACGTCAACATGTTGCATTGTCAATTCGTAGGCTGGTAGTAGCTGTGTGATAGTAGTCTGGGCGCTGAGCGCCAAGTAGGAGGAAAGGCTCTGGATACATATGTTTGTGCTGGCGAGAGTATCCTCTCATTGACATTCGGATTCGGTGCTTTGGTTCTCTGATGGTGTAAGATCAGTGCATTTCTGCTTTATGGACAGCATTGGACTTTCTGGCTTTCAATGTGATTTTGCATTCGGGATCTCTGTCATTTCGCTATCGCTCATTTTCCTTGCAAAGACTTTAGCTTAAGCTTATAATGCTTGTCAGGCACGAAAAAAAAAAGGTTAGCGGCCGTCAGCCCTGTCAGGTCCGCCTCTTCCTTAGGTGGAGAAAAAAAAAATAAAAAAATCTATGCTCTTCAATCTTCTCAATCTTCTCAACTTCATACTCTTCATCCATAGACTGTTGAATCATACGTCTAGAACTAGGAAACTCGTCACATTTTACGCAGAGTAGGAGTTCGGATGACTCGTCACATTTTACGCAGAGTAGGAGTTCGGATGGATGGAAGACTAGATGAATTTTGAGATGCTGTGGGATATCTATCACGTGGGACGGACCATCTATATCGCCGACAACTTTGAGATCTTCCCATGGAGTCATGTATACACCCAACAACTTTTGAGATATTCCTTCTTCTAGGGTGAAACACACATGAGATCGCCTTCTTTGAACTCAAAAGGTCTTCTTTGGTTGGTTCTTGCTTGCTTAATCATTCGTTGTTGAGCTTCCCGAATGTTCTCCTTTTCTTTGTCGTCCATAAAGTAGTCCAAATTGTCTAGAAGTGGATGATAAGTAGATAACCTTCATATCTGATCGCATGTTAAGGAGTCAATAGGCCTTGTCGGGGGGTTGTTATCTTTTGTGACGTGAATTAGGAGCTATGCCCCTGACAGTGTGAATGCAACACGAGGGGGGGGGGCGGGAGGTCACACTTGCAAGTTGATTTCTTCATCTTTTTCTGGCTTGTGCGACACCCAGTGAGTGACCCTGGATGTTGGAAGATCAAATGGATAAGCTTTGAAGTTCAAACAAACATTAATTTCATTAAAGCCTTTTTTGAAGCAGGAAAAAAAGAAATCCCCTTTAATAAATTCATGAGCCCTCCCTTCCTTCCTCCTTTAACACTCATTAGTTGTTACTTCAATTTTTAATTTTTCAATGTTGGCATAGACATACTGCTCCACGCTAGTCACACGTGCCTGGAAATAACGCAACTTTCACTTGCTAATGCGTAATTTTCACTTGCGAATGGGTAATTGCCACTTACGAATGAGACTTAACTCTAGGGGATAGGGAATGTGGAAAAGGAAGGAACCACAAAAAAAAGGAAGGAAAGGAAAGAAGGGACTGGCTGCAGTTGAGTTTATTAGCATTAAAAAAAGAAAAAAAAACTTGTCATCACATGTTACCTTTCGTCGTACATCTTCTAGGCGAAGCTCAGCAATATCGACTTCATCAAAGAGGATACGACCCTCAGCCGCCTCAACCAAACGGAAAAGGGCCAGCATCAATGTTGACTTGCCAGCACCTGCATTGGGGAAGAGAGGGAATTAAAAAAAATATATAAAATTATATTTAAAAAATTCAGTTGATGATTGCAAACTCTATAGAGTCAAAATACTGTTTTTTTGTGTGGACCAGATACATTTTGACTAGTCAAACATTTTTAGTATATTGGGACTATTACCAACTTTGGATGCGTGGAGAATGATCTGTAGTGGAGGAAGGCTCATAATTAATGATTACAGAGTAACAACGACTCTTCATTCTTAGCTCGTGCGTGAAACTTGGATTTGGAAGCATATACCATAGCCAAAGAATGGTGGAGTATATATGACAGGATAGCCATGCACTGGGGCTTCGAGTATGCTATGTGATAGTAGTTGGCGAGACCGTGGAGAGTATGGAGATACGTGACACAGAGTTCATGAGCCAGACAAGCCACAAAGGCTACTTGGAGAGCTGCACAATGGACGACCATCTCGCGCGGTTCGCAAAACAGAAATTACTTCTGAATAGATAAACGTTTTACTATGGTTTGTCAATTTAACTCAGACTCAATTTATTATTGTGGAGAATTATTGTATCAACATTTCAATATTCAAAATATTTGGTTCAACTCGACCGCTTATGGGCACATGAGTGTTTGGTTTTCGTCATGGTAGATGTATTATGCACAATTTTCCTTTAAAAAAAAAATATTCATTTGATTTTAATTTTTTAATCTTTTATTAAATAGAAGTGCATACCCCCTGACGCATTATCATATCCATGTGATTACATCACTAAGATTCACAATCATGATCTGTTTTTTTGTCAGTTACATTTCTATACCATTAAGCTATGTGTGATCATAGACTAATGACATAATCAACAGCTCTGGCTAACGACAAAGGAGTCAAGAAAAGGGACAAAATTTACAGTCTCTTTCCAATTAACCTCTTGTTTTACTTCGGGAAATCCGTTGAAATTGGGGCGATACACAAAACATTAGCACGACCCTTGTGCAAGGATGACTCACATATAGTGAGAAATAGTTGTGTCCTCACAAGCCAGGAGTATGTCGTTGTTATTATACAAGAACACAAGAAAGAAAAAAACAACAACTCGATGGCTCATTATGCATGACTAGGCTATCTATTTTTACGTTATCACAAACGAATATATAAGTAAAACTTATGGATGTTAAGGCTTAGACACGAAATGGGAATTCAAACTTCGAAACTGTTGAAGGAGTACTTATGCTTGATTCTTTGTCGAACCTAGGTAGGGTGTCTACAAAAGACTCATGCATGAACTTTCTAAAACATCCAGCAAACTATAGGTGCAAAATTAATTCGAGCAGCTATGCAACAATCTCATCGGTTCCAACCGCTGTAAGCATTGAAATGTGTTTAATTCTTTGATTCATTCTGTTGCATGAAATACTTTATTGGCGAAGCAGCCACTTGGTTATGGAGCACCGTATGTAAGAGGACAAACAAAGTGTTGCCCCTCATCGACATATTCTCTGGCGTAGGTTACGGGCCCACGGCTCACATACACTATCGAAAAATACAATAAAAACGTTACTCAAGTGGATGAGTAGATAAATCGGGAGGCTCACTACAGGTGCGCGCGAAGTGTCTCTATCAATCCTCAAAGACCATATGCCAGACGCACAGGAACCAATAGTGTGATGATATGGTATAATCCTCATGGTGACATGAGGCGCAATAGCACGCGTTGTTTTCGTTATGCCTAAGGTAATTTCATTGCCATACTTTATAGGTGACGTCTAGTAACAAGAAACAACAAACTAACTAATAGTAATTCCAACATAATAATAAACTCATCCGATTTGCGTGCACATATACATAGATGATACAATAATTTCAACTTTGTTAAAAATCAGATGGTACTACACAAATTGCTATGCATATATATATCGTCAATGCATTACAATCAATGCCTACAATCTTCCAGAACCTTTTGTTTATTTTTTTTGTCGGTAAAGAGTTTTTCTGAAATCCAGACTCCCAACTCCTGTTTTTTAGTTCCAATGTTCAATTATACTTTTCGCAAATGTTTTCACTTTGATCTTGTTAAATATCTTTACTTTTTTGGCATATTCATGTAGGAATAGACGAAATTCTAGTAGACTATATTCACCATAAAGTGAGACAATTTTTTTTATTTTTATTTTTTTTGAGTGTTTGTTTCAAATTTCGATATGCTCAAAAGAGTAAAGTTTAGCAAGTGGGAGTTCAAATTTCGGAACCTGGTTGAAAACCAGCCATTGCATGTAAAATAGAAAGATTTTATCATTTTAACACATATATCCAATCATCTATTATTTTATCTATACTCTATAATAAAGGGAGTAGCGGGTCTTGCGTGAAGCCACAACAAACCTGGGGTCCCTGTGTTGGGAAATCGGCGGTGGGCAAGGCGCGGGCCCAAGGGGAACTTGCACAGATAGCATTTTTTTTTCCCCGTCCGCGCGAGTTCGAATAGCGGGGAGACGTCGCATGAGGAAGTACGGTCGTTCGTCCTACTTTCATTCCATAAACATCGCACGTGCAGGGTGAAACCAAAAACGGTTCCGCACCGCCCGAAACTTTTCCACCACGGCACATCGTCGTTCGAACTCGCGCGACGGGAAGTGCTAGTCGTGTTTGTTCATCTGTGCTATCGCAATGACC